AATATTGTTACTGCGCATAATAGCATTTATATTGCTGGCGTTTTATTCGTCACAAAATGAAATTTGGTTGTCAAAGATATAGTATCTTGGTTTGACTGACGTAAAGTCTGATGTACAACAACGGGAACAAAACGCACAATTTCTTCTAAGATCGGCTATTGTAAAATCCAAATTGATTCAAATGAGAAAATCCTTCAAGTTTGTTGATAATGCCCAAGATAACGAAACAATGCATAAACAATATGTAAATTTAGCTTTATTACTTTGTTTGTTCCGTTTCTTTGTTCCTATTTTTGCAGGTATTAAATGTTAATAAGAACAGTTCATATCAATTAAATGCAAACAATTCATTGGAAATCGCTACGAATTCTCGATTTAACCAATTGCAATAAAGATATTGTTCAGAAAAATGGCTTGAAAATTTTACCATTGTTCATTCGTTCAATTATTGATCTGCTACGATTCGTATTGTTGTTCCACATTACATAACAGTATACTATATAATCCACAATGACTTAATTAATATTTTATCAAACATTGAAAGAAAATGAGGAAATTAACATAGATCAAACGATATCTGAACTTCGTTCGACTTTATCTGCTTTACATACGGCACTTAATGCAACTATTGTCCATTTCAGAGATAAGTGGTCGTGGGCATTTATTGAATAATTTTTGATAGGAACGAGATACAGACCTGCGGTTTTCATTGTTGGAAATAGCAGATGAAGACGTATCGAACCATATATAGAAAGACTTTTCTAACTACTTTTCTAATGATGTTACATAAAACTTCAAGAAAAACAGCATGCCTCTAATGGTCACGATATTAATTTATTGATTTTTAGGAGTACGCTAGAACCGGCAAGCAAAAAGCTATCAAACTATATCAAGATTCTATTTCTAACTACTATCAGTGAGATATCCAAACCATCAGAGTTCAATTTACCAGCTCATTTTTTTCGAAAAAATAATCAGAAAATGGAAGCTTTTCCAGCATTTTCATAGAAAAACCGCTTTTTTAACGTAGGAAAAAAAAGCAATTCGTTGGAAACGTTTGACTAAAATCGTTAGAAAGGTAGTTAGAAAAGTCTTTCTATATATGGTTCGATGCATCTTTATCTGTTCTTTCCAACGGTGAAAACCACAGGTCTCTATCTCTTTCCTATCAAAAGTTATTCAAAAATGCCTACGGCCACTTATCTCTGAAACGGACAATAGTTTACTTCAATTATCAGTCACATTCTATGTGTTCAGAATTCATCTCAAGTATTAAGATTCGTCATATTAGATTTCATTCAACAAGTAGTGGCTGTCTGAAAAGTTTTCTTCTATAAAACACTCAATAGTGAAAATAAGAACGATTATTTTGGTCTCATTGTCCTTGTGTCAATTTTCTCTTAACTATTCGTTGTACGATGCTCAAAATTCGTGTTATCTGTCAGCTATTTTGTCACTTCGTCGTTTACTTATTCACATGAATTATAACAGAGAAGAACGACACTCGTATCTACAATCTAGATGAATTAATAGAACATAATCACTATAACAGCTGCATCATATTCATGGATGCGTTAGTGACGATGCATTGGGATTTTATCAGAAGAATTTTTGATACTTTTCACAAAAGTCTTCTGCTTTTTTTTGGAACGTATAGTCTATTTTAGTATTGATTAAAAAGAAAAGAGGCCGACTACGAAGCCAACATATGTCTTTTATATTCTATTACGAACAGAAAAGATTTTATACAAAGTAAAATTTTGAAGCGCGTATGTCGTTAAGAAATTCCTGTTAATTCTATTTTCGTAACTTATTTCGAATTTGTCTTTTTTTTTCAATAAATTAGTGTGACGATTTCATCGACAACAATCAGCGTAATTTCTTATCGTCTGATTCGGAATAACATGGATCATGCCATATTGTACTATTTCGAAAATTTATTCAAAATAAATTTCAAATAAAAGTATTTCATATTTTATTCGTTCAGTTTTATCATTAAAGCTTCATCAATTGATTTTGCTGATTTTCTTTCACCATAGACTACTTCAATTTTAACTAATTAAGACTAGTTTATTTTAATCGTGATATCTGATAAAAATCTAGTCATATGATGATAATGATTATCAAAGCATTGTTTTATCGCATAAATTATTAAAAATCATATATTTGAAAAATATCAAAAGGTCATTCTTTAACGATGAAATCACAGTTATTATAAATATCTATATTTCATTTTGCTCTATATGATTATTTTTCGATGAGTGATATTCATGTATGAATAAATTTTGCATCCTTTTTAACGAAGTAAATCGCATATTCTATAGACATCTTTGCAAAATTCTTTTATCATTCGATAAAATCATATTTTTAAATCTCGAAATAATGAAATTATTTCAGTATTTTATAGGAGCATTAATGATTCAACTTCTCAGAAGTGATTTTCTGTAGTTTGATTATACTGAAAATTTCTCCGCACATGGAATTTATACTGTGATATTTCTTCTAAATATAAAGCGAGTTAAAAGAACTGATATTTTCATACGTATGTGTCTATGAGAAAAGAACTTATTCTGAAATGTAAATTTTATAAAGAATCCCACTGATTATGTTTTATAATATATAATCTAAAAAATGTTTTTTTTATTTTCTATCATTTAGTTAACTTTTAAACCAATTATATGCATATTTTCCTATTGATTGACTTCTAATTATACAATGTTTTTTATATTATTCTATGTCATTTTCTGGCTTATATCACAGGTAAAACTAATCGAATTGAAGAATATGATTATACTGCAGTTAACTGATACCTTTTACTTTCTATAACTAAAAATTATCGTTTCGAACAACGAGTTAGAAGTCAGAGGCCGAAATCAAGTCGGTTGCGGGTGTGATATGAGTGTACTCATTATTTGTTGATCCGATACACTGAAACTGATAAAAACTATTACTGCTGATAAGTTTCAAAGAAAACAGTGTTGTAACTGTTAACAAGAGATATTTATAAGAAAAAAAGGAAAATAGATTTATGATTATATCGAGACATTTTTTAAACCGTAAAAGCCGAACGGGGTTGTCCATGGAAGAGACTGAAGACAATCACAAATATAATACTTGTTGAATCTCAATATACTCATTGTATAGTCAGAACACACTACTTTGCTCTTCTTCTAGAATTGCATAGAACTCTTTATTAAAAATCTTAAACCTCACAAAAATCTTCAAGAAAAAAATTTTAAATTACTTTTCGCTGCCATCACTTTGCCGTTAAATTTTCAGTCAAAACACATATTTTGTTCTCGAGATATTGACTATGGAAGAAATTAGCAAAAAAGTGCTGTATTTCATGAACTGAAACATATCTGCCGCTGAAAATTTGAACACAATATGCGTACTGTACATTAGCTATTTATGAGCGTGATTTACAGTCGAAAATATTTTATTTTGACTATTTATGCTGTATATCCTTCGTTTGATCTTCATTCTGGCAGTCTGTGACGACATCTCGTAGAAAGAGGAAATTTGCAAGCTCGTTTTTTGGATCCACTAATATATGAAGAAAGGTAAATGATTTTTAAAAATCATCGATATAAAAAACCCTCTGGTACTCTTTAGGAGTCAAGTCAGAATTATACTCCGATTTGTATGTGGTCGCTAGAATCGTGCAGATACAGGAAAACTTAAGTTTTTGCATGTTAACTTTCTTAGTAGATTTTATTGTAGTCAAACTAATGTCTCTTGGAAGGGACATTCAGCTTTTAAGGATTAAATGCTTATTGAACTTACAATTTTGGAAGATATTCTTCGCTTTTGAAACCCCGATTTTGCAAATTTGAATTGTTACCTTTGGTCTCGTACTCATTAATGATATGATCTTATAAAAAGTCGTGCAGTTTTTCGTTTTAAATAACTAAATGAAGTCTAAAATTACATGATATAAGTAGTTTGTTCAGAAGAAAGTTCAGAATATAGGTAGTCGATAGTATGTGTAAAAAAACATTGGTATTTATTATGTGTGTTTAAACTGAATGAAGACCAGTCGAATTCATTCTCCTTTTCATAGCGAACTACGTCGAAGCCATAAAAATGAAAATTTTCGAAGTCAATCTCAGAGTTCTAATAGTATAACAGTAAAACAATTTGAATTTCCTTTAGAAAAGAGTTTATTCATGTAATATTTACGGATGAATAATAATAATTATTTTTTGCAGAGACAAAATGTAATGTTGATGAATCCTTATCCTATTATTATTGTTGGTTCTCGAAAAATATTCAACAACACATAAGTCCTAAAACTAGAAAAGAAAATTGTTTAAAGTCTTTCAGTGTCGAAATCGGAGTGAAAAAGTGTGCTACGATATCTCGCAGTTGGACTTGCAATAGAGAGTTCGACATTGAAATCTTCAAGTTTTATTTTTTCTAAGTCCTATTGGTAGTGCCAGTTCAATGTCAGACTTGTCAAAAAGCACAGTTAGGATTAAACATAACTAGCATGAACAACAGATAGAGAGTTGATCACTATCATCGAAGGAAACACTGAAACTGTTTGTAAATAATAATATATCTAGTATTACTAATCATCTTTCAACATTCTTTTCGAATCTATTTTGAGTAGTAAAAAAAAAACAAGTCTCATATCGAATTGAAATTATCTGATCCTAATTGCTATTAAATATCCATAGATGATTACACTCTTCATTAGAAAGAAAATATCATCTATTATACCATGGTCCAGTATATGATACATACATTGAAAAGCTCGCTAAATCGTTTTTTGTGTCTGTTCGATCAGTTAAATGATAAGCAAATTTCATTTGCTGGTCATCAAAATTAACATACTCAATTCTTAATCGGATGCCACAGTATTATAGTTTAATTTTTTGATAATGTCTTTTTCGTTTATTTTTGATGATGAATATTAAACAAAAAGAAACTAATTGTTTGGATATTTATAGGTGGTATGTACGCGATTGAATGCTGTAGATCTCCAATCAATTTATATGAAACTGCACTCACCTTCACTCGTGGTTGCTTTCAAAGATTTATCACATTTTCGAAGACAAATATTAGCACATAATGCTATTCGCATTTTAAAGAATTCCACTGATGCCAATGGATTGTCCAAGGAAGAAATAGCTACAATAAAATTATATGTATCTTGTTTTTTTCTTTATATTCCTCTCAATGAAGCACTTCGTAGTGAACAATATGAACAAATTAAACCTTGGTTTCCATATTTAAAACTTTTTCATAATGCTATATATAAATTACCTGAACGTGCAGGAGTACATTGCCGTCTAGTAAGTGGTAATATCAAAATTGATCTGTATCAAGTCGATTCCTTCGTAACTTGGGTAAGTAATAAAACTGAAAGATTATTTATTTCAATTAAAGTGATCTGAGTTTAAAAGAAATCACAGCAAATGTACTATCATATATGACATAAGGCAAAATATTTTTCAAGAACTCTTTTTCAAAGAAATTCTTTTAAATTATTTCTTTTAATGAGTTTCTCGGTTATTAATCTTCTTCGATTTTATCTTCTTTACAGTGGGATATTCCATCATTAATAACAAATTGGGAGGTATGTATGTCACTTGTGAATGAAACAGCCATCGAAGAAAAACATGGAACTATTTTCTGGATTACAACAACATCAGCAAGAGATTTATCAATTTTATCGTTGAATTCTACCGAACAAGAATTGCTTTTGTTACCAGGAACTCGTTTCAAGGTTATGAAAAACAAGAAACATGCGCTCTTCAAGGAAATCAATGAAATTCATCTTATCGACACGACATTCGATGTTAATAGTGAGTTGTTTTTTTTTTCTCAAAATAATTATTCGTGTCTTTAAAAATAAGTGAATAAACATCAGTGCTAGCCGTTGAGTGTGAATATTGAACAAACACAGATAACGTCATTAGAATAGAAAACAATGCCGAAATTCACAGGAGAGTCAATGCCCAAGATGTTCAACATTATAAACTACAGATATGCAACATTTTCTTGATAAAACTTTTTAAGAGAAAAATAATTAAGCAGTTTCACTTTATTTTTCTCTACTTTTCCGCCCTGCTTCATATTTTTCATCAACATACGCTCTGACCTTGAAAAGTAAAATCAAAATTGAATCATTTAGACTTAGCTTATTTCATACAGATGTTTCTCAGGTCACATATTTAAGTTCTAAAAAGTTGTTAGACTAGTCTGAAAAACTTAAAGATTTCGAGTGTTAAAATGCTTCTGATATTCATATTTCTTTTCAGGCGATTTACAAAAATCTAAGAGAAAAAAGTAAATGTATGTCTTTTTCAAGTTATTTCTGTCAATCAATTAGCAATTATCAAGAAAAATGAGAATTGATAGACTAGATCGAATATGTCTGAAATTTCGACTGATGATTTTAACAGCCTTGTGAGCAAAGTGAGGTGACAGCTCATGACATTGTAAATATTACAGAATAGACAAAGAAAGAGCTGAAATCAAGTGTTTTTTAAATCAACTTAAAAAATTAATTTAAAAGATATTTTTTTATTTAGAATTGCCGTTTGTCTTCAGTCAACTATTTAATACAATCGAATAAAATCTGCTGAATACTAAACCAAGGAAATGGAAACGATTGCAAATAAAAAAAAAATATCAATCATTGTAATATAATGATAAACTCTGTCGTCTAATACGTGAAAAATTTTCTTTTCATAAACAAAGTTTTAATTCATAGATTGACATAATGAGAAAATATTTAACATCAAGTCACAAATCATTGATAGACAGACTCGTTGGATTTTTTGATTATGATAATACTTTTAATGTACTGCTGATAAAAGTAAAAAAATATAGCTATTTTCTCTTTGACAAAAATCCGTAGATATTTCAAAGAAAAATTTTGATTTTAATATCAGTTTTTTCAAGTATCTTAAGTTTAGGACGTGAATTACAACCCGTCGAATCTGAAATTTTAAGATCGAGACTCGGAGAGCATGGATCTGTTTATTGCTAAATCTCTACTTAGTCCCTTCCTTCATGCACACATGGAATGGAGAACTTACTAGAGTACTTTTCAGTAAGAAAAGAAACAAATAGTATTTGTAATACACCTAGAAATATCTTAATCTGATAACTATGACTAAAAAAAACTAATGAACAAAATACATTTCTCTGTTTTATATTATGTGTTGTTTTGTAAAAGGAAGTGAAAAGACAATAATAAACAACCGTCTCAACTGATAATGTTCTCTCCATTTAATATAGTAAGACAAAAGAAGCTGCAAATAGAGTCTGCACCAGTTCGAAGAAGTTCAACGACAAGTAAAAACGAATATCGGAAGAAATAGAAGTTCATTCAACTCGTTTTTTAATACAATAAATTTAGAGTAAACGAATATCAAATTTCCAGCAAGTTATTTCTTTTTCTAACACTTTTTTGCTATTTGATATATATTTCAAGGCGACTAAGAATATTCGTTATTTTTTCTGTGATGCCTCTTCGATATACAAGATGGAAAAAACTTCACTTAGCGTGTCTTTTTGGGTGTGAATGTGGGTGTAGGGATGTGGATTTATTCTTCTTCAGTTACCCACACCCACACCCACACCCACACCCATCATCCGTATTTGACCATGAAAATTTCTTAGGGTTCGCACAGTAACAACAGAAAACAGACAAAGATGATATTGAACCGCATGGTCTCAAAAATATGCATTTCATCATTTTTTCTCTGAACAATTTGGCAATTTAAGAATAATTTATCATCAATCAATAGAAAATTCAAGCGAAAGAGAAATAAGTCAAGAAAACAATTCTTCAAACAGAGATCAAACGAAATAAAGCATCGATCAGAGTTCATCGAGTTATTACATAAATCAGCATAATCTTTGAGAAGATCATAGGTACAATCTAAAATATTTTTAATCACAAGTAATTACAGGCGCATACTAAAAATTGTGCGAAATGATAGTAGTCAGTTGATAAAACGTATATAGTTCATTGTTTTGAATGTAATAATAGACAATTAAAAAATCCTTATAATACGACCGCAAAATTTCATGTGATATTACGTACTAAGATTGGTTTTGTTTTTCCCACGGCTATGATTGTTGGTATTATTTGTTGCCGATGTTGTCGTATGCCGCACAATTTCGTCCACCATTTACCCTACCAATACTCTTTTGGAAGTGAAAATATCATGACAAATGGCAGGAATAACATTGCATAATAGCCTATAAAATAGACTATCTCTTGTGTCCTAGTATCGTAAAATGATAAAACTTCAAAAATGCACAATGTTTGATAGATAACTATAGGAGCATCAAAACTGGAGCAGAATACTGAAACCGATAATAATTGAATTGTCATTTTACGATGTTTTTGCCACACAATCGGTTGTCTTAAACGAATACTTCTATGCCAAATAAGTCGTATAATTGGAGCAACATCAGATACAACACTGCGAAAAGTGATCGATATCCAATTGAAAAAATATTGCCAATCAAACAGAAATGAGTCATATTGAATGCAAGGAGAATAATAACACTATGACTGCGTGTAATCGTATGTAAGTAGAAAATCACATACGACGAAAATTTGATTGAATCCATGAAATTGTATTGGATACACAGGAAAGACTACAAATGGAATATAATGCAAAAATATTCGTTTTTTTTTAAGTTGATAACCATTTCTCATGAAAAATGAGAATATGTCTCTCCAGCGAAGCTACAGCGATAACCATGATCATCACTTCAAAAGTAACTATATCGATGTTCCACCAGAAAACACAAAAATATTTTGTTTAAGGTTAGACATACCCAAGCCAAAGGTAGATTACATAGGATGGAACGTCCAATAATTGAGTGACAAGTGTGATACAAATCAGAAGAATAATTGAATGGTTATTTAATGCTACTCGTAGAACACGTTTGGTAAGTAGATGGTAAAGATGGAAGAGCGAACATATAATTGATCCACTGTTTACAATAGTCAATAACCATAGTCGCACTGGCCTAGGGATAGTCGTAGAGTTATCATAAATTGTTGACGTCTCATTTGAGTTGGAATCCATGATATACAAGTTTTGAGAGAAAAATTGATGTATGAATATTTTGCCAAGCAAGTTCTAGTAAAATGATCGCTGATGTTATTATGCTTTAATGTTCAGGAAAGAAAACAAAAACATCTTTATATGATTTTCACGGACCAATAAGTCTTGATCTTGTCAACAGCTGTCAGCTTATAGTAGTTTATACATCTCATGGTTTGTTAGACATTATTCACAGTAGACAAATAAGCGTTATGCAAAGTTTGTCACTGTGTATTAGAATATGCTTCGTTATTCCATGAGAAGAATCTGTTAAAAATAGAATTATTGTTGAAGAATGATCATTGCCATCGAATAAAAATTATACTATCACAGTTCTACAAGCATATGAGAAAGGCCTCTATACGGCACATCCTATTTAATGGTAGATTTTCCAGATATGTTCAGATTTCTGAAAAAAAGAAATTACGGAAATCTCCGAAGCTTTCAGTAACTCGATAACTGCATGGGAAAAACAAAATGAAAATTTGTTGAATATGTTTGGAAATTTTACAAACTTCTGTAACTTCTGAAATCCTATAGTTTTAGAACACAACTGCTTGAATTTACCGGAAATTTGAACACTGCTGGTCCATTGGAGGAAACACGAATCAAAGAATGCAAACCCATTTGAATGCTGTTATGCAGAGAAGTATGAATGAACGACAGAATTTCAATATATCTAAAGTGACACAACAAGAACAAATTGCAATTAAACTTGTCTACTTGAAATGAACAGAAAATGCAAGACGAATTCGACTTTAATAAAATTTGCTCTAGAGACCGAAGAGCAATTGAATATGAGTTCCACGTTTGAGCTCTATCAGGACCTACCTTGACAAACTTTTTTTAACTAGTTTTTGCTATCACAATGATAATTATTTTAAATCAATTTATGGCGACACCTTTCGTTACGTGATTCACATTATACTTAAATGAATCTTATAATCGAATACGTCCGAGTAGAAAATTAATATGAAATGCGTAAAGACCCGAAATGAGAAAAGATTGATATGAACTCATAGAACTAATTGTTAGTAGTTTTTTTTTACTGAAATAAACCTGATCAATTTTAATTAACATCATTCTATAAAAATTTACAAAGATTTCCAAAGATAATTTTTCGACGAAAGAAACAAAAATTGATATTGATACAATGCGAAAGAGTGTCAATAACGATATGAAAAATATGCAAAACACACTTAACGAAGTGTACGAAC